CTTGTTATGGTGTTTCTGGCTGCTGAAAGTAGGTGGTTATGAGTTCTTTGTGGTGTAAATGGGCATTATTGTCTTGGAAGATGTATAGTAGGGCCAATTCTGGGGTGATTTCTAATACTTGCTTAGTTATTTTACATATTTCTCGTATGGTTGTTGTCCAGTATGCCTATGTTCTGATCCAGCCATGATCTACAGGGTGTAGACCAGAAAGGTTTGCTCCAAATTATGGAGCAAACCAAAATCTCCCAGCACCACCACCCAGCCTTAGACTATAGGGGTTGTCATGAAAAATGCCTTTATGTCAGAATTTACCACTACAGTCCTCCTCTGCTTGTGTTAACAATTAATCACAAATATACACTCAGGAGGAGCTCCTTCTTCCATGCCGAAGAACGCTAGACAGGAAATGCACTGGTCTCCTTTCCTAATATCTTAGCTGCCAATCAGAATCTCGTTGCTGCTTATCAAAGCTCCATCCAAACGGCAAGGCGAGGGAGTCACAGTCAGCCGATTTCTGCTGCGGCTTTCCTGATTGTGAAGTTCTCCATCCTTGCAGTTAGTTTCAGGGCCAACTCCTACTGCCATTGCCCTATATACTTCAGGAAGGAGAGGAGAGAGTCCCTTTCCTAGCAGCAGGAAGCTTATCTGGGTCTATTAAAACGGGTAGGAAATAGGTTTCTTCACGGCAAATTTTCTACCGTTGCCGGTTACAGAAGCCTGATGCTATCAATCAGCTCACAGATAGGTCTGACACAATCAAAATTTCCCTCAACAGATGGGAAGAGGTCCGCGGAACTTCAGTGAGCTTTGACTCTTTTTTATTATTATTGATACAGCAAGAAAAGAAAAAGAGAAAACCAAATACCAAATTACACACAGAAATAACCATAGACACAGAATTTTCTTAACAAACAATAAAACATAAATTGGTCTTAACACTAAAGACCCGACCTCCCGTCTATTCCATATTTCGATTTCATATTACTTTTTGCCATTACACACTTTTATCGTAATTAAACTTTTTCTTAATATATCTTATTTCTTATATCTGTCTTACATCTATTACTGAAGTTCCTCGAATGCTGCAACAGAGTTTAGACTACTATATTTACATTTCAAATATTCTTTGAGAACCTCCCATTTTGAAACAAATTCCTGGTTTGATTTATTCTTTATTTTTTCTGATAGACTGTCTAATTTGGCATATTCTGTCAGCTTTTGGATCCAGTCTTGTATAGAGGGGATTTCATTACTCTTCCATTTAGCCGCGACAAGAACAGTGAGCTTTGACTCTTAACGCTGACCCAGAGTGTCCAATTTATTTTATGTTTCGGTCTGCTTTTGGGAAACACTTTTGAGCTTGATTTGCCTATGGTGGAATACCTGTACACTCACCACAAAAGGTTGGCATTCTGCAGAGGAATGTGGGTGGGATGCTTTAGGTGGCAAGCTTGTTTCCAAATGGCCAAGTGCCTCCATCATTTACATGACCTGGTCTCACCATCACTTAGATGAGCTGAGACTTGGCCCTCGAACGCAGATGACCCGGCCCCCTTAGAAGGGTAAATGCTTTCCTTCCCACAAAAGAGGAATGGATGAGTGATGGACTACTTTGAATCAGCAAAGCTAACAGCTAAAATAAGAGCACTTAGTGAAATACACTCAGAGCTGAGTGTTGATTTTGTGCTCTTTATTTCAGTTCATGGTAAACAGTGAGTGAGTCCTTTCCCCCCAAACCTCTGGCTATAGATATATTATTTACACAATGGGTCCCATGTGATTGGCTGATTCAACTCCCCTCCTGGAGCCTGATTGGACTGTTCTTACAGGCCAGTCAGGTTGCTGAGTCACTTCCTCCTGGAGCCTGATTGGGCAGCTCCTGCAGACCAATCAGGTTGCTGCCTTCTAGGATCCTAGCTGCCTATTGTTCTAGGATCCAAGCTCATTACATAACACTTAGCAATGACTGTTTTCTGGAAGAATGGAAGCCTTTTTCGGATATTCATAATCAGTGCTTTCCCCCCCTAAAAAAATGTTTAGGGGTACTCTCATTTTGACTCAAGAAAATCACCAATTTACAGTTCAAACTGGGAAAAAGGAATACAGTAAATGGAGAAAAGTACAAAGATTCACAAAACATTTAGGGGTATGCGTCCCCCTGTGTCCCCCCCTCATAATGCTGCAATATATTATTTTAAAGCAATATTATAGCATGATAAATTTGTGAGCCGGATTTGAAATATGAGCAACAGAAAGAATGAGAGATTATTGTATTATGGTTATGATATGAAGGAAGGAAGGTAGGGGGGAGCTAAGGGGAGGAATAATAATTAAAAAACCCCACAGAAAATAAAGCAAAGGGAACAAAATAAAATAAAACAAAAGGGAAAAAATATTATGTCTAGATATGTCTAAGGGAAATTTGTGGATGCCTGATAAAATATATTAACCCCCCCCCAAAAAAAGGGCAAACGATCTCCAGAAATGGGAAAAATGAATCACGAAAACAAAGGTAGGGCACTGTAGAAATGCAATACATCATGTCATAGTTGGGATGTTGGTGGCCAGGTGACCTGTGTGCCTGCTCAATCTGCTGCCCAGATGTTCATTGCTGATGGGCAAATTCAAAACCTCATATTCTGCCTTCTTATGATTGTTTTTATCATCAACGCTAACTTAGATTGGGCATGTCTTTCATAGAGGATTGCCGTTTGTAAAGTAGGACACATGGGCATCCTGCCTTGCCTTCAGCTTTCTTTCTTAGCTTTAGTAGAGCATGAGACTCTTCATCTCTCAGGGTTCATGGGTTTGAGCCCCACACTGGGCAAAAAAGTTTCCTGCATTGCAAGGGGCTGGACTAGATCAGCCTTGTGGTCCCTTCCAGTTCTGCGATTCTATGACTTATATGCCACTTACTATTTCAGAAATCTAGATATCATTAAAACAGGACGATCAACAAATCAAGAAAACAGCAATATATAAACACACAAAAGCTACGCAAGTGAACAAAATGGAGAAGATTTGACCAAGTAATAAAAGGGTGGAGTAGGGGGAAGAGAGATTAAATCTTATGGGTCAGGGAAATCCTGGGCAAACAACTCATGGTTGCTTCTGTTACGGAAAAATCTAGGTGTGAGGCTGCTCAGTCACCCAGCTCGTCGGGCAGAGCCCACGGGTCCCTGCGGAATAAAGGAAGGATTCCAGCCAACCGGAGCAAATAGCTGTAGACCAAAGTTTATTGTGCAATAGGTTCAAAGAGCAAATTTGAACCCTGAGGATGGGGTGACAAAGACTTTTAAAACTTTCCCACCATATCCCAGAATACAGTTCGTACAGCATCATTGCTACATCATTGCTACATCACTGACATGTCACAAAAGGGGAGGGGTTAACCTTGGCAAACATGTCCAGACAAGTCCTTGGTACAAGATTAGCATAAGCAGTCATGGCAGGGCAAGACTCAGGTATAAGATTAGCATAGACAAATATGTCTTAAGTACCCACCACCCAAAAGTACAATAGAACTTCCTTTGCATGTCTGGAGCCTGAGGCAAGTCAGGTGATGAGATTTGGCTTCCCTTGGCTAACAATGAGCCCAGCAATTGTCACCTCTGGGAACTTCCTGGAGTCCTTTTTCAAGGGGAAAATAGCTTTGGAATGGAGGAAACTGGCAAAGGAGATGATTTTATATTGTTTTTAAAGCTAGGTAAATTCCCTGAGCTGTCAAGTTGAAAGGATACATTCAGGCATAATATTTGTAATATTTAACTTTAAAGATGTGCCACCCCCCCCCGTAATTTCCGTAACACTTCTTTGGGTTGAGGAGTGAATATTTTACCGTGCAACCGCAGAAATGGAATCAGTCCCCCCCCATCCACTCATATAATCAGTTATAAAAAAATGGCAACAAATTTGGTGTTGTTCCCCACCTTATTTTATGTTCTTCTGTGTTATGACTAATAGCCGAGATATGTAAACTAAAAATGGAACCACTGAACTGTTGCAGATTTATAGTTAGATTTATAGTTAGTTACATACATTTTCCCCCCAGCTGCAAGCAAGCATGGCCCAGAGTTAAAACAGTGATTTCAGGCCATCCACCAGCAGTGACATCTGATCTTTGAGAGGAAATAAGCAAATCCCTAAGGAATTTATCCCTTTTTTTATCTTAATGAGGGAGAAAATGAGTGTTCTTTCTCCCCCCTTTTTTTTTTACCATGCCGAAAGCCTTTTTTGTTTGTTTTAAATAAATAAAGGCTGGATGCTAGGAAATGGGAGCAGAATCTCCACGTCTAATCTTTGCTCCACATATTAGAGTGTTTGTTTTAAATCTTATAAATATTTAATATAATCAATGGGAACTTCAAAAGGCAAATGCCTGTGTATGTCGAAAAGCCGTCTGTCCATCCTTTCAGCCGACCTCGTGCAATAACACTTAAATGTCAAAATGTTCCTTGCTTTTGAATTTCTCCGATACAGGAATCTGCAGTTGCCACAGCAGCAAAGGCCAATCTTGCCCAAAAGGGAAAAAAGAAAATGACTTTCCTCCTATTTTTTTTTATAGTGGTTAGTAATGACTGGTGTAATAAATAATAAAAAGTTAAGATCAGTTATGTGGCAAAGTCTTTTTATTATTACTATTATTGTTTAAAAAACAAATAAAACCTGCTTCTCTTGTTGAGATAAATCACAGAATTGTAGAATTGAAAGAGAGCCAGTGTAGTGTAGTGGTTAAGAGCAGTGGGCTCGTAATCTGGGGAACTGGGTTCGCGTCTCCACTCCTCCACATGCAGCTGCTGGGTGACCTTGGGCCAGTCACACTTCTCTGAAGTCTCTCAGCCCCACTCACCTCACAGAGTGTTTGCTGTGGGGGAGGAAGGGAAAGGAGACTGTTAGCTGCTTTGAGACTCCTGAAGGGGAGTGAAAGGCGGGATATCAAATCCAAATCAAATCCAAACCACCAGGGTCATCTAGCCAACCCATTGCAATGTAAGCATTTTTTGCCCAACGTGGGGTTTGAACCCAGAACCTGAGATTAAGTGTCTCATGCTCTACTGACTGAGCTATCCCAGTCACCACTGCTTTAATGTATTGAGAAAAGGGGCAAATAGTTCTGTGCTTCCTGTTATCTATATTTTTGGACACTAGTGATGACAGACCTGGAAGTCACAAAGACGTGAAAAATGTCATGGTTGTGTGCACCATGGTCTTCCTCCCCTCTTCTTTTGAATAAAGTCAGTATCATTGTTTGCATGTCTGAGACAAGCAATAACGATGTACAGTGGTTCTCAAACTTAATCCATTCCGGAAGTCCGTTCCAAAACCAAAGTGTTCCAAAACCAAGGCGCGCTTTCCCATAGAAAGTAAGGCAAAACAGATTAAACGGTTCCAGGCTTTTAAAAACAACCCCTAAAACAGCAATTTAACATGAATTTTACTATCTAACAAGACCACTGATCCATAAAATGAAAGCAATAATCAATGTACTGTACCATAAAATAAATAAGACAATATTATAGATGATAAAAATTTAAAAAAAAAAAAATTCTTACCTGCACTGATTATAGTCATTGTCTGGATGGTGGGTGGGCTTTTATCCATTTCTGCAATCACACAATCAATCAATCAATCAATCAATCAATCAGTAGCTGAACTGGGTTCCACACAGTCACAAAAACAAATTAACCGAAAAAGCTTCAAAAACAAAAATGCAAAATTAATAGCAAAAAAAGAGAGAACACTAAACAAAAGCACTAAACTTCCGAAATGTTCAAAAACCAAGGCGCAACTTCTGATTAGTGCAGGCGCCCCGGAAACAACAGCCAACAGCCGCATTGGATGTTTGGCTTCCAAAAAATGTTTGAACACCGAAACATTTCTGGGTTTTCGGTGTTTGAGTAGTAAGGCGTTTGAGAACCAAGGTACCACTGTAATAGACTAGGACGGGGGGCAGCTTCAGATTCCCTGCGGCAGTCACTGTCTCTCAGTCTAATGTCTCAAAGCTGTGATGGAAACATGCAACCTCGAGAAGCTTTGAAGAAAAGCGGGGTAAAATGAATGCGATACACAATCAGTATTGTCAATGCAATTTAGTGCACTGTGAGATTTTTTTTGTGGGTGGAGCCTCTGGTAGCCATTGGATAGCTTGCTCTGATGTCACTGTGATGTTGCCACAAGTTGTACCTTCTGAAATTTCCTCTTCTGCACAGCTATTAAGATTCAGGAGCAGATATGTCACCTTCGGTGGGCCATACCTTAAAGGTAAAGGGACCCCTGACCATAAGGTCCAGTCGTGGACGACTCTGGGGTTGTGGTGCTCATTTTGCTTTACTGGCTGAGGGAGCCAGCGTACAGCTTCTGGGTCATGTGGCCAGCATGACTAAGCTGCTTATGGTGAACCAGAGCAGCGCACGGAAACGCCATTTACCTTCCAGCCGGAGCAGTACCTATTTATCTACTTGCACTTTGAGGTGCTTTCGAACTGCTAGGTGGGCAGGAGCAGGGACCGAGCAACGGGAGCTCACCCTGTCGCGGGGATTCAAACCGCCAACCTTCTGATCGGCAAGCCCAAGGGGATCAGTGGTTTAGACCACAGCGCTACCCCCGTCCCCTTAGTGACATGCAAATTGTTGAGTACTGCAGTGCATTCCACGTGGGGCTGCCTTTGAAGACTTTTGCAAACTCTGAGTGGTCCGAAATGGGGCTGCAGAATTGATAACTAGGGTAGGCCACTTGACCTTCCTCCCCGAGTGAAAAAACGAAGAACCCACCATCGCTGCACATTCAGTTATCTCAATTATCAACTGGCTGCTCAATGAAGGGCGTAAAAGCCCTTGTCAAGGTAGTCTATCAACCCATGAATATGACCATTTTTTTTCCAGTCTGGCTCATTTTAAGGTTAATTACTTTTAGTGATATTAGCCATCATACCTTATGGGGTGCTAATTTCTTCCACTTCTATGAAAAATCATTTGAAATGTTCAGTATTACAGGAGACTTGTGGGATGATACTGTCCATAGGAGCCAATTCCTAGGGGCCGTGGGGGCTTTAGCCCCCACAATAAAAAATTTGAGGGGGCCGGGCCCCCACAAGGTGAAGAGCATTCTCATTCAAATGATGTGTGTGCACTGCATCATGTGATCGATTATGTTGGGCAGGGCTTACCTGGGCCCCCACAATATTTTATCCAAGTTGGTACCCCTTATATGGTCTGAGCGCCTTTCCTCTTCTATATACAGTCATACCTCGGGTTGAATGCGCTTTGGGTTGAGCGCGTTTGAGTTGCGCTCCACAGCAACCCAGAAGTAACGGAGCACGTTATTTCTGGGTTTCGCCGCTTGCACATGCGCAGATGTTCAAAATGACGTTACACGCATGTGCAGAAGCGGTGAAAAGCGACACGCGTGTGTGCAGACATGCCGTCGCTAGTTACGTTTGCTTCTAGATGTGAACGGGGCTCTGGAACGGCTCCCGTTCGTATCCATAGGTACCACTGTACTGAATAGACAGTGATCATTTCTTGTTTTTTTCTGTGTTTATACCTCTTTTCTGTGATCCAGTTTTTCTATAGCAATTATGCTATTTTTTCCATAGCAAGTAAGCAATCAGCAGAGCAATCCAATCATGTCTACTCAGAAGCAAGCCCCTTTGAGCTTCATTGGTCTCGATCAGTTTCCAAAGCATTTAAGGGCAAATAAACATTACCTATGGAAAAACAGAAGAAGAAGAAGAAAAAGAAGAAGAAGAAGAAGAAGAAGAGGAGAAGTTTGGATTTGATATCCCACTTTATCACTACCTGAAGGAGTCTCAAAGCGGCTAATGATCGCCTTCCCTTCCTCCCCCACAACAAACATTCTGTGAGGTGAGTGAGGCTGAGAGACTTTAGAGAAGTGTGACTAGCCCAAGGCCACCCAGCAGCTGCATGTGGAGGAGCGGAGACGCGAACCCGATTCACCAGATTACGAGTCTATCACTCTTAACCACTACACCACACTGTTGGAGATGCTGGAGAATTTTGATGAAAATGGAAATGGGAGTGGAAACTGCCAATGTTTTTTTGTTCATCCCATGTCCAGAAAAGAAATCAATAAAGTGAATACTATTGGTATTAGTGTCTGCTGCTGTTGCTTTGAGCCCACAAATTATACGTCCCGCCATTTTGCATTGTGTTTCTTCTGCCTTGAAATGAATGAGGTGGAATTAGACAACGTAATTTATGTAATTGCATAAATAACATAATTTGGCCACTGCCGATCATTCGCGCCTCACAAAGTGGCTCAGGGCTGGTGTCACTCTGGCAGTGTTGGCAGCGAGGGATTGACTGGATCACAGTGGGCTCGGTTTCCCCTTCATGTCCTGCCCCCTGGCGTGTGTGCACCCCAGGCACCATAAAAGCATGCTCCACCACTGGAGGTTACTATATGGTTACCAGATTTTTTTCAATGAATCCAGGGACACTTTTTTGGGGGGGAAGCTGAGTAGCAACAGGGAGTCAGTAGTGGGGATGGTGAGGCAAAAGACCCTGGGCTCAGGAACACATGCATATTGTATAAAGGTGCAAAGCCCTTCTTTTGCACCCTGTGAAACCTAAATGCACAGAGTTTTTGAAAAACTCGGCAACGGCCAGCCACCTGCGACTCCCGAGCTTCCCCCGATCAGTCAAAACAAAGGGGGAAGGGGGCAGATCTGTACCGCCAGACGTCCCCAGTTCCCCTTCAGCAGTGGCGGTGGCAGTGGCAGCCAGCAGCCCAGAGCCAGCCTGGTAGCGCAGTTGGCACTGGCTGGCTTCAGGAGCTGCTCGCTGCCGTGGCGCTCACCATTTTTCCTCTCTGGAAGTCCCCTTATGATGAGTTGTGCACAAGACACATCATATGGGGACTTCCGGAGAGGAGAAAAGGTGGGCGCCACGGCAGCCAACTGCGCTACCAGGCTGGCTCCGGGCTGCTGAGGCTGCCGCTGCCACGTTTCTGGGGGACAGATTTGCAAATCTGGGGACTGTTCCCTGGAACCGGGGACGTCTGGTAACCCTAGGTTACTAGAGTGTAGAAAACAGATGCCCAAGCTGATGGCACTGCACATCACTGAGGCCACTTGAACCTCAAGCAACAGTAATGGATGCAGAACTGCCCCCAAGCACATGCTCATATGCTGTTTAAGAGGGAGTGTCACCCATCTGGAGCAGAGCACATCTCACTCATCCATTCTAGGAAAGCATCTACTCAGGGCCAGATTTTGGTTTGATGAGGCCCTAAGCTACTGAAGGTAATGAGGCCCTTTATATGTCCAGCTGTCCTTTGTCAACAACAAACTGTTGCTTTTTTGTGTTGAATATATGCTACATGGTAATTTATGGACCTAATAGGTATCTAAAGCCATTTGCACATAACAAATGGGAGCCTACACAACACAAAACACTGTTGCTGTATGTAGGTTTTGTTTTATTTGTTTTTTATCTTGTATTTTGGAAAGGTACATCCAGGTTTTGTTCTTTAAATTTTTGGGGGGGCCCCCAAGAGCGTGGGGTCCTAATCTATAGCTTGTTCAGCTTAAACGTAAATCTGGCACTGCATCCACTAACAGTAAAGGTAAAGGACCCCTGGACGGTTAAGTCCAGTTGAATTTGATTATGGAGTGCAGCGCTCATCTCTGCTTTTAGGCCAAGGGAGCTGGCATTTGTCCACAGACAGCTTTCTGGGTCATGTGGCCAGCATGACAACCGCTTCTGGCGCAAGGGAACACCAGGATGGAAACCAGAGCACATGGAAACGCCGTTTACCTTCCCACTGCAGCGATACCTATTTATCTACTTGTACTGGTGTGCTTTCAAACCGCTAGGTTGGCAGGAGCTGGGACAGAGCAGCAGGAGCTAACTCCATCGTCGGGATTTGAACTGCCAACCTTCTGATCAGCAAGCCCAGGAGGCTCAGTGGTTTAGACCACAGCGCCACCCACCCACCCCCCACAGTGCCTCAGTCTTGTCCACATTGAACTTCAGTTTCTTGGCCCATGTCCAGTCCATTGCCAAGGCAAGACACTAGTCCAACACATCCACTGCCACATCTGCCAGTTTAAAGG